AAGTATCTGCTTCCAATAATCTTAATCAGACCAGAATTAATAATTTGAAATGTTAATATTGGCCAATACTGATACAGTCGCTGATATTTTGTGCATCAATCATTAACATTTTTTACCATTCTTTGTTCACCTGGTGTTAAAAATCACCAATAAATGTTTGCAAATGTTTTAACCAAAGTCAGTGCTAACAGTATAGTGCTATATTGGCAGGTGCTGGAAGCGCTGCAGTATGTGGACAGCACTGGGGCGGTTCAGCTGAAGGGTCGTGTGGCGTGTCAGATCAGCAGTCATGAGCTGCTACTGACTGAACTCCTGTTTGAGAACACACTGAGTCCTCTCGCCCCTGAGGAGAGCGCCGCCCTGCTGTCCTGCCTCGTCTTCACACAAAACACCCAGATAGACCCGCACATCACCAACACGCTACAGGAGGTAAAGCAGTGCTCGCCACATTCTCACAACCGCATTCCCGCAGCCAAGGAAAACCTGGAAATACTTGCGATTCCCAGCATCCCATACTTGTTGATGCTGGAGATTAAAAGCTGTGGAAATCCTATGAATTATACATGCTAATACATTATACCCATCTGAAAAGCATCAAGCATTTTTTTCGAGCCCACAGCCATTAGAATATAAAGCAACAGATACTCTTGTCGTCATGGTTATGGATGGATGTGAATTTATACGTCTCTCTGAGCTCAAACACCCAAGAGATGTGCTTAAGAATGTAGTGGATGCAGCCTGGATGCTTTGCTTTATGCCTTTAGCAAAGGATGTAGTCGCACGCGAACATGTCGGTGTGTGTTGTCGAATGGCCCAGAAACATGGAATTGCTTTAAAGGGACCGTGAATAAGTCATGACACTAGACTGAGAAGCACACAAGAGTTTATATAGTTCACAGAGGCTCGTAGGCCAATGTGAAAAAGCCCTTGCTGTTCAAACGCTGCGAGGTGAGGTTGTACAGGTAATGTAGCTGCAGTTTGACTGCATGACTACCTTGCCTGCCTTGCTCTAGTTGTGTAAGCACTTAGACAGCAGATGGAGACGAGTGTAGTGCGCAGGACAAAAGAAACTGAGGCAGTGCTGTACTAAGAGATCTCACTATATGACTAATATATAAAACTATATGTTTAGGCCTTACACTCAATTGAATGAATCACTATTTGTCACATATAACAACTCTAATTGAAGATAAAACATTAAATGCTGAGTAAATAATTAAGATATTATACAGTGCAAATACAGCTATGGAAAAAGAGTTTTTTGGTCAAAATAACAAATGTTTTCATTTGTTGTGATTGAAAATCAGGGTTATTCCACCAAATATAGATTTCTTAACTCTTCTGAAGTTAAAACATTGGTATTGTGTTGTCTAAAAATGAATAAAAACATGTCTGAAGACATGGCATCTTTTTTGTTATTTTGACCAATTGTCAAAAAAATGCTTAAAATGACAACATTTTTATTTAAAATTTTAGAAGAAATGTCATCAGTAGTTTACAGAATAAAACAAAAATTATGTTTTATTCAGACACGTAACTATAAATCATAAATGCAGAGAAACTGAGAATTTTCAAGTGGTTTCTTAATTTTTCCATAGCTCTTTATGTACCTATGTTTGTACAGTGTATATCAGTAAGGGTCAGTAAGATTTTGCTAATGTATTTGAAAGAAGGCTGCATTTATTTGATCAAAAATATGGTAAAAAATGTAATATTGTGAAATATTATTACAATTTAAAATAACTTTTCTATTTGAATATATTTAAAAATGTAATTTATTCCTGTGATGCAAAGCTGAATTTTCAGCATCGTTACTCCAGTCTTCAGTAGCCCCTTTCACACATACAGTCTTTAATGGTAAATTACTGTTAAGAGATCGTGTGTGAATAGGACCTTTTCAAAAAATACCGGTAAATTTGTTCCAGCAATTTACCGGTATGAGAATTTGTAACATTACCAGTAAATTACCGGTGATGCGCTCTGTGTGAAAGCAGCACATGATTGAGCATGTATGAGCACGTACGAGTTCAGAACGTGCTGACTTAAGACGTCTACTCTGAGCCAATCATAACATTCTGACGCAGATGACGCAAGTCAAAGAAATGTCTGAAGTCGTCTAATACGATGTCTCTGGGCCAAAAGCAGCTACATGAATGTGAACGTTTGACACAAAAATTAAAACATCAATAAAAACTCTAACCATGTTTTCCTCTCCATGTTTACAAACACAACACCGGGAGGCGCAGCCGTTTAGAGGTCCTTTCTGGTTAATGATGTCACAGAATTTACCGGTATTTTAAAACGGATTTGTGAATGGTGCTGCTTTACCGGTAAAAAGACGGAATGTCATTGCCCGTGTGAACAGCGCATTTTTGTATTTACCGGTAAAGTCGTTCCGGTAATTTTATTGCAATTTACTGGTATTGCTGTGTGAAAGGGGCTATTGTCACATGATCCTTCAGAAATCATTCTAATATGCTGATTTGTTGCTCGAGAAACATTTCTGATTATTATTAATTCTTCATATGTTTGTGGAAACCGGGTTACATTATTTTTTTTTCAGGATTTTCTGATGAATAGAAAGCTCAAAAGAAGAGCATTTATTTGAAATAGAATGCTTTTGTAACATTAGATATGTCTTTACTGTCACTTTTGATCCATTAAATGTGCTCATGCTGAACAAAAGTATTAATTTATTTTTAAAAATTACTGACCCCAACCTTTTTATAATTTATACATAGAATTTATATGTATGATATATAAGTATAAATCATTTTTCTCCCATTCTCTTGCTTTCATAGGGCATCAATCAAGTACTCAGTGTGGCACAGCGTATTGGTGAGCTGCAGATGGATTGTGGGATAGCTCAGACTGCTGAAGACTTTGTGGCCCAGTTCAAGTTCGGCCTGACTGAGGTTGTGTACTGCTGGGCAAGAGGCATGGTGAGCACTGACCTTAAAACAAATGATCCAACCGTCACAGTGGCCTTAATTTGGTGCTCATTTAGTTCAAGTGATATTATATTTTTTATATAATAATATCAAAGAGACAAATTGATTTATCCTTTAATGAAGACCTAATTATGAAACTTCGATTCATTCAAATTTCTTCAGAAAATTTAAATATCTATCTATCTGTCTATCTATCTATCTAGCCATCTAGCCAGCTATCTATCTATCCATCTATCCATCTATCTAGCTATCTATGGTGCTCAGTTAGTTCAAGTGATATTATATTTTTTATATAATAATATCAAAGAGACAAATTGATTTATCCTTTAATGAAGACCTAATTATGAAACTTCGATTCATTCAAATTTCTTCAGAAAATTAAAATATCTATCTATCTGTCTATCTATCTATCTATCTAGCCATCTAGCCAGCTATCTATCTATCCATCTATCTAGCTATCTATCTGTGTGTGTGTATACATTTGCTATATATATTAAATGTAGCTTCTCTAGCTAATAATATCACTTTGCACAAATATTTATATTCTTGTAATGCAGTGATAATGTCTGATCAAAATAAACTGATAACCTATATTCCTATTTGGAGAGAGAAAATCATATTTCTCCATAGCTCCCAATAATGCTGGTGTGTTTTTGTGTTTGGTAGCCGTTTGCTGAGATTGCCCAGCTGACGGATGTGCAGGAGGGGACGATCGTACGCTGTATCCAGAGGCTGGACGAGGTCCTGAAGGAAGTGAGACAGGCTGCGCGCATTGTGGGTGACTCTGTCCTGGGCAGCAAGATGGAAAGAGCCTCGCTGGCCATACGCAGAGACATTGTGTTCACCGCCTCGCTCTACACTCACTGAGAAAGAGGGAGACAGAATGTGTTTGCGTGTTGATTGGGATATAAAATAGAGCGTACAGAATATGGACCTGAGAGACTGTAGGCTACTTGAATTACTGAGTGCATGTTTACATTAAGTTGAGTATGCATGTGTGAGTGAAGGAGTAATTCACACCTGACCAAAATTGTGATCTCAATATGAAATGGAGGTTGACATCAGTCATGAACTGTAATTAAATGTACAGCAATAAAATGAGCTGTATGTGGAACACTGGTTTCATCCAAATTGTCAGAAAAACTAGAAACTATATAGTGCTTTTGCTTTGTGATCATTTTAATAAGGACTGCAGTGGTGTTTTCTTTTATGTTTGTGTCGTTATCATTGCTATTTTCACATTTGCTGTCATTTTTTATTATTATTATTTATTTTATTTTTTTTTGCCATGCAGGACTTTTCTTTATATATTCTATTTGCACTACATTTTTGCATTCTTGCTCTCTCTTAACCCTCTGCCCCCACTTTTTATCATTAAATATAGTTAATAAATTTAAAAAATCATAAAGTAGCCCTCAGATCAACCAGGGCTATAGCCACATAATTTAGGATGAAACCTCCCAATCCTGAATATTTGATTTCTTTCCCAAATTTTATATCAACTTATGTATTATTCTGCTTTCAATAAATGAACATTTTATAATAGAGACATTATGAATATTTCACAAATGCATCACCAATGTGACTGTGGCAGTCAATATAGGCCAGCTTTTCATATTAATAAAACAGTTTTTTTTTGTCTAAATTTCAGAAAATATTAAAATATTTTTAGATTTGATTTTTAGATTTACGTTAACAAATGTTTAAAGCTGCATACAAACTAAATTACCATACTACAGTTATAGATGCTATGGTAAAACCATCTTTAATATGGTATCTCCTTCAAACAATGTGTGATTGTAATAATTTAATGTCAATATGCCAAGATACCACAGTTTTATTGTAACGGTTAGTAACGATGGTAGTTTATCGGAAACTATAGTTACCATGGTAACCATATTATTCGGCGTTCTTAAGTTCTTTTTCTGTTTCTTAATTTCTGCCTCTTAAATTCTTCTTGTAAATACACTTTATTAGTTTTAGTATTCTTGAAATTATGTTAATGTGTGATATGTGCGACATGGATGCTGTCTCTTTAAGACGCTCTGGTTAATTCAGTGTAACTAGATGCGTTAGTTGAAACCTGTTTTTCTGCTGCTGCTGATGCTCTGGATGTTGCCGTGTGGCCGTGGAAAACAGCAGCAAAAGACATCCAGTCGCTTTTACACCCAGATAACCCAGCCTTTACACAGCATACATCAGGATTGCCATCCGAAGATGCGTTATAATTAGCCTGGAGAAATCATCAGCATCGTCTGTTGTGATCTGACACAAAGACAGACGCACTGGTTGGATTTGGGTTTTTATTACTGGAGGGACAAACTGAACATCGTCGAAACGGATAAATAAACGCGATGTCGTCGGAAAAACACGGTAAAAAATGTCTATTTTTGTATTTGGTCATTCATGCAGCTGGAGGACTTATTTTAAATCAAAGATATGTATTATAAAACAACTGAGAGACGATGACATATTAAAGCGAATTATACGACCATTCATGAATTTTATGTTGTTAATTTTATTTTTTTTATTTTTTCAATGTTCATCCTTATTTCATCTATATATACTCGTATATTCAGACTGTGTGTCAAATCCTAGTAAGCTGCCTACCTAGGCATCAAAAGCGCGTGATGTCTGTAGTCGCGTGCTGCAGTTTTGCCCGTTATAATCATATGCTGCGCGTTTTGGGCATCATATGCGCCTTTCGAAGAAATAAAACTAGCAGATGATCCCCATAAACGCTGTCTGTGTAGGCAGCTCGCTAGTATTTGAGACACAGCCGTCGTGTCCGTTATTCTCTCCGGTATAGTGTCGTGTTGAATAGGCTACATTATAAACGGCTGTGTGGAGTTTCATCAACTGAGAGAATAGGCACATTGAAGTATGTGGTTTGAATGCTGTTGTATGAAGCCCTATTTCAGGCATCAGGTCCCTTGGGTCCGTGATTCATCGTGCGATGGAGGGCCCTAAATCACTTCAAATTGTAGCATGATTTTCTGAAATAACACAGGTATGGTTTACATAAAAGAACCTTTTGGATTAGCCTATCGGTAATTTTTCTTATGATAAAAAAAATATTATTTCAGTGTAATGAGTCAGTGTCTTGCAATCTTATAAAAGCTCATGCTCATCTCTTTGTCAACCCATTTAGACAAAGATTTAAAGTATATTCATGATTCATATTCATTGTTTAATATGCCTAATCTGCAGGATGTTAGAAAAGAAAAGAAGACGCAAATAGACAAGGTTATGCTCAGAAAATGATGCATTTAATATGTATCCCTGTGTATTTCTTTTTTCCCACTTAAAACTAATTAAATATGAATTGCAGTGCCTGAAACCCCTCTATACCATCCCGAACTCTATATATTCTGCTGACATTGTGAAGGATTACAGTCGTTTACACATAGAAACACACACTGAACTCTCTGGGGTGACACAAGCTGGTGTAAATCTCATTAAAGCTTTATTGTGAAAGAATATTCCAGGTTGAATACAAACTAAGGAATGGTTTATTGGAAATTTGTCTAAATAATAGCGTGCATTGGTCAGGATAAAAAATCCATTCATTTTCTCCGTAGGGAAATTGATTTGAACTAAACCTTTAAAGACAGAACTGCTGTGCGCTCTGAGGTTGTTAATCAATGGTATATGCTTTTGTTGAGACCATCAGTTATTATTTTAACTTATTTTTTAAAGACTGTTTTTATAAGCAGAATGCCTGGTGAAAAAACTACTTTTCCCACAATTCAGCAAAAAGCTCCACCAATCAGAGCGTCCCGGTGAACAAATCACCTCAAAATATCTCTGCAGGGAGCTCTCAGAATACTTAAAGGGGTCATGAACTGCCTTTTTAAATTATTTTGTACTGTTCTCTGAAGTCCACTTATAATGTTATCAAGATTTTAACGTCAAAAAACATCATAATTTAGAAATAATAGGCTATTTTCTGTCCTGTTTTGACCCCCTCATCGGAACGCTGTGTTTGAATAGGCGTGGAGGATTGTAGACTCGGATGTAAACGCCCACTGCTATGATTGGCTAACAGCTGTGTATGTTTGACATCCTACATGCTTCATAGATGGACGCTGTTTTTAGACTAACGAGAAAGTTTTGAGTTCTGAAACTTACTGGATGTTTTAATAGTACAATGACCTCTTACATGTCAGAAGATCAAGGGAATTTAGATTTCTCAGTTCATGACCCCTTTAAATATTTGTATGTATGTATATATGCATATATATGCTTAAAGGGTTAGTTCACCCAAAAATGAAAATTCTGTCATTAATTACTCACCCTCGTGTTGTTCCAAACCCTGTAAGACCTTCATTCATCTTCGGAACACAATTTAAGATATTTTTGATGAAATCTGAGGGCTCTCTGACTCTCCCATAGACAGCAAGGTAACTACCAAGATGATCGACAAAGTAGTCCGTGTGACATCAGTGGTTCAACTGTAAAGTTACGAAGCTTTACATCACGCAGGATCTGGGTCAGTGCCGGCGCCGCCACACGCTCGCGTCATGGTACTGTCGTGATTGCGCATCCAAAGTGACGCAGTAGAGACGAAAATGTGGAATAAAGTCGTTATTTTTGTTTTCTTTGCGCAAAAAAGTATTCTCGTAGCTTCGTAACTTTACAGTTGAACCACTGATGTCACACGGACTACTTTGTCGATCATCTTGGTACTTTTCTGGACCTTGAACGTGGTAGTTACCTTGCTGTCTATGGGAGGGTCAGAGAGCCAAGAACGATAACTCTATAAAGATAACTATAACTATAAAAATATTTGCATCCACACCACCGGATTATAACATTTATTATAAGCACAAGCTGCAGTTTTGTCGCCTGATGCATTAAATGCTTTGAGATTTTTATAGTCGGGTGGATTCTGATTGGCTGTCAATGTTTTTATCATTCATCAGCTTGAAAGAATCGTCCTGCTAGTGATTACATTTAAATCATTCTTCTGTGTTACCTTCATAGCATTTTCAAAGAATTAGACATTTATCTTTATGGTTATAGTTAGCATCCTTGGTGTGAACAGGCCTTTGCTCTTATGAATAATTGTCTGCCGGTCTTTATTTGTGGTGTATGACTGTGGATCTGTCATGGCTCAGGATTGGAGGAGGCAGCGGGGAGGCAGTCCATGTCTCAGCCGATGATGCAGATGGCTCCGCCTCCCTACCTCTCCACCCAGGACCCCAACATGCCCCCACATCCTCCTCCACCCGGCTGTGCCCCGCAACCCAATTACCCCCCTCCCCCTCCTCCTCCTGGATCAGAGGGGTACCTGCAGGAAACCCAGTTCCACTGCGGCACCCTTGGGCCCCAGGGGGCTCCAAACGGATACCCGGTGCAGACGCACAGACCAGTAGGCACTGTCCCTCATCCCCCAGTGGGCTATTTACATCCAGGATACCCCCTTCAGCTGCAGCCATGCACGGCCTACGTGCCCGTCTATCCCATAGGCACAGGGGTGAGTGGGCATTCATTTAAATTGCACAGGATAATCCAGAAGTATATAGCATGAGAGCGGGATACAACATACTACATACTACTGTAGTTAAACATAAGGAGATGAGTGGTTCTGTTAACGGTATGTATTTTTATGTAATTTTTTGAGTGTTATTTTAATAGTCATATGCTGGCTCTTTAAATAAAATATGCAGCTACTTTTATGCTTAAAAGATTATGTGAAATGTGATGTGATTCCCGTGCATCCCTGGAGAACAAATACCTTTCCAAGTTGGAAATATACTAGCGGAGATGATATGCATGATATATCCGGACTATAACTCTTATCTGCCAATATTAGTGCATTTTGAAAATGTATTAGTAAAACCTCAAAATGTTTTGGCTGATATTGGATATTTAATATAAATGTTTAATAGATATTTTCCTTTTAGATTTAGATTCCAGTAAAATTTCATGGTTCTCTATACCAATTTTTGTACCATAGCAAAAACTAATTCAGCTCCAAATAAATGATTTAAGCTTAGGGCTACAATTTATTAAAAAAAAATTATTGTGATTATTTTGTCATATATTGCAATTCTGTTTTGAACTGCATTCTGAACCTGCGATATGTTAATAATAACAAATGTGGTAATTAAAAAGAAAACTAAATATATTACTATCGTAAAAATAAAATTGTACGGTAAAGTAGTTATAATAATAATTATGTTTTACACTACAATAGTAATGTTATAATACTAATAGTTATGTGTTCATTTCTTCACTTTCAAGTGTTAAACCTTCAAGCTTTTATTTTGGCGGAAAACTGGTGTCTAGTTGACAGCATGTTTAGAAAGGTTTCTCATTACAAATCTTGTGAAAGGCTGAAAACGTTTGTCCACAAAAATATTGGTAATTATGCGAAAATAAAGTGAACCGGCATACATTTTGGTCCCAAATACATATTAAATACATAGTGTTTGATAATGATTGATTTGTTAATCGCACTAAGGTATATCATGATTTTGATTTTATTTCGATTAATTGTGCAGCCCTATTTCACTTCATGTGCTGCTAAAGAAACAAAAATTGTGATTGTCAAAAATTTAAGGAATTTTTAAATTTTCAAGGAAATAATGCCTGTCCAGTATAAATATAGGAATTATGCACCTGAATTGCGCACCAGTTTCTGTAAGCTGAATGGCCTTTCCTGTGTGTTTCTTTTCCTCAGGCGCAGCCTTACATGCCCAACGGTGCACCTCATCCAGGTGTTTCCCCCGGCCAGATGGCCATGCATATGCCAAACGGCATTGCTCTGATGGAGTCTCGTCGTCCTCCTCACGACTACCTGCCCATCGCCGTCCTCACCACCGTCTGCTGCTTCTGGCCCACAGGAATAATCGCCATCATCAAAGCCGTGCAGGTAACTGAGCCCAGGCCGAGCTCTGATGCTCTGATGCCAGCAGGGCTGAGATATGAATCAGCTCATGGATATCATTTCTGTTTCATGCTTGCTGTTCACACACTAAGAACTACTAAGAACTAAACACATGGTTATAAAACCATTAGATAAATGGTTGCATTTCAATGTGGAATATGATCTATGTGTACAAATGATCTAAACACAATTAGACGTTTTACATCAATCAGTTTAATTTAATTTAAAATTTAATATTCTAAACGCCTCGGGCTCGTTTTTTTTGGTTTGACGCGCCGCGTTAAAAACTGGCCGACCAATAAGATTGGCGCTTTTGTTCACGTGCCTGGAGCTGCTGAAGTTACAGTAAAACACGACTTGGTGGCGCTCAAGCACAAAACGGTCTTGCCGAGCACACATTTATTCTTAACGACGAAGAGGAAGTAAGTAGACCAAGAAGATGCATCGAGGCAAGATGAATGTAGCTGCTGGTCTCATTGGTGTCTGAACACAAAGGGCTTTATGACAAACGCGACAGCGACTACAAAAATCTCGATAAGAGGGAGTTGTTATGGAGAGGAATTGCAGATCAAATAGGATTCGATGTGTACCGGGGTATTTCTGTTTTTCATTAAGCGCCATCTAATGTCAGGGAGTGAATTTGCACGTTCACTCGGCTCATCGCCAGCGAAAATCGCTTGGGTATGAACACAAAAGACGCGTCGAAAAACGTCGGCGATAATCGTCCCGGTGTACGAGGCTTTAGTGTGAACAAGTGTTTTATCTACTTGTTCTAGATTCTTTTTTTTTACAAAATAGGATTTTATTTTATTTTTATTTAATGGGATTTTATTTTATTTTATTTATTTGTTTAGTGGGTGTTTATAAATAATTTACATTCAGTATTCAGAATTTCATTCAGTTTGGTTGTTTTGACATCAAACAACTTAATTTAATGTACTAATTTAATCTCACACTTGCTTTGAACAGGCATTTTATCCATTTTTACTAGATATCTACTGAATAGGATTTTTAAGTGATATGTGTTTAGCGGTAGCATTTCAAGTTGACAAACGATTTACACAGTTTTGTTCAGTTATGCTTTTTTAGCATTAAACAATTTAATAATTTCATTTCATTTAATTCCAGATTTGGCATGAACAGGTATTTTATCAAATTTTTTTCTAGATATCTACTAAATAGGATCGTTTATCATTTGTTTAGTGGTTGCATTTTGGTGTTACATTGTCTATCTAAGTTTACAAACAATTTACACAGAATTAAATTTTTTTTTAGAATTTTTGAAGTTAACTTCATTTAATAATTTAATTTCAGACTTGGTGTTCGTTCAATTACATTTTTGTAGCATCAATTTAATTTAATGATTGAATTCAATTTAATTTTAGAGGTATTTTATCAATTTATTATAGTTATCTAGTAAATAGGATATTTTTGTCCTATTTGTTTTTAGTGGCTGCATTTCAGTGTGACATTGTATTATTTAAGTTTACAATGATTTACACAGAATTCTGTTCAATTAGGGTTTTTCTTAGCATCAAACTATTTAATTTAATTTAATTCAGATATGGTGTGAACAGGTATTTTATCTATCTTTGTTCAGGTGCGTACCGCTGTGGCTCGAGGCGACATGGTTACTGCAGAGATCGCCTCGCGCGAGGCCCGTAACTTCTCCTTCATCAGTCTGCCGCGTTAAAAACTGGCCGACCAATGAGATTGGCGCTTTTGTTACGTGCCTGGAGCTGCTGAAGTTACAGTAAAACACGACTTGGTGGTGCTTAAGCACAAAACGGTCTTGCCGAGCACACATTGATACCTAACGACAAAGAGGAAGTAAGTAGACCAAGAAGATGCATCGAGGCAAGCTGCTGGTCTCATGGGTGTCTGAACACAAAGGGCTTTATGACAAACGCGACAGCGACTACAAAAATCTCGATAAGAGGGAGTTGTTATGGAGAGGAATTGCAGATCAAATAGGATTCGATGTGTACCGGGGTATTTCTGTTTTTCATTAAGCGCCATCTAATGTCAGGGAGTGAATTTGCACGTTCACTCGGCTCATCGCCAGCGAAAATCGCTTGGGTATGAACACAAAAGACGCGTCGAAAAACGTCGGCGATAATCGTCCCGGTGTGTACGAGGCTTTAGTGTGAACAAGTGTTTTATCTACTTGTTCTAGATTCTTTTTTTTACGAAAATAGGATTTTATTTTATTTTTATTTAATGGGATTTTATTTTATTTTATTTATTTGTTTAGTGGGTGTTTATAAATAATTTACATTCAGTATTCAGAATTTCATTTAGTTTGGTTGTTTTGACATCAAACAACTTAATTTAATGTACTAATTTAATCTCACACTTGCTTTGAACAGGCATTTTATCCATTTTTACTAGATATCTACTGAATAGGATTTTTAAGTGATATGTGTTTAGCGGTAGCATTTCAAGTTGACAAACGATTTACACAGTTTTGTTCAGTTATGCTTTTTTAGCATTAAACAATTTAATAATTTCATTTCATTTAATTCCAGATTTGGCATGAACAGGTATTTTATCAAATTTTTTTCTAGATATCTACTAAATAGGATCGTTTATCATTTGTTTAGTGGTTGCATTTTGGTGTTACATTGTCTATCTAAGTTTACAAACAATTTACACAGAATTAAAATTTTTTTTAGAATTTTTGAAGTTAACTTCATTTAATAATTTAATTTCAGACTTGGTGTTCGTTCAATTACATTTTTGTAGCATCAATTTAATTTAATGATTGAATTCAATTTAATTTTAGAGGTATTTTATCAATTTATTATAGTTATCTAGTAAATAGGATATTTTTGTCCTATTTGTTTTTAGTGGCTGCATTTCAGTGTGACATTGTATTATTTAAGTTTACAATGATTTACACAGAATTCTGTTCAATTAGGGTTTTTCTTAGCATCAAACTATTTAATTTAATTTAATTCAGATATGGTGTGAACAGGTATTTTATCTATCTTTGTTCAGGTGCGTACCGCTGTGGCTCGAGGCGACATGGTTACTGCAGAGATCGCCTCGCGCGAGGCCCGTAACTTCTCCTTCATCAGTCTGGCGGTGGGAATCGCCTCCATCGTGCTCTGCACCATCCTTACCGTTGTGGTTATCATCGCCTCTCAGCACCATGATGACGACTGGGAGCCCTAGAGAGCGCAGCGCGGGACACACCTCCCCATCCTGACCCCAGGCCATCATTCCAGTCGGTATTCTGCTTTTCTGTCACACAGCACAGTTCTGATGGCTCAAGCCACCACAACCTAATCTGCAGTCGAAAATACGCTTTTACAGTCATTTGCCCATGTATTAGTTACAAGATAGATCGACGGTATGGTAAATCCGAGTGTGGGGAACACAGAGCATCTACCTTGTAAGCGTGTAAGCTCGCACTCACATTAACCTACCTGAACACTTCCTGTTTCTCCGAAACTAAAGCCTGTGTTAGATCAGTAGTTAGAAATATAGTATACTAAAGACTTGAGTCATGTCAGGTGTTATAGTTTGCTTTTAGAATTTGCCAAAAATATTACTTTTTAAAAGAAACACAAGTATTACAGGTTATTAGATCAGTAGTTAGAAATATAGTATACTAAAGACTTGAGTCATGTCAGGTGTTATAGTTTGCTTTTAGAATTTGCCAAAAATATTACTTTTTAAAAGAAACACACAAGTATTACAGGTTCAAAATTTTGGTATAATTGTGTTTTTTGATGTTCAAAACATTCCATGTATTATTTTTGCCATTTATCTGTTTAGAAAGATAATATATTCCTTTGCAGGTTAACTTGACAAATTCAAATGCTGAAAGTGTGGATAAATTGTGTTTTCTATACACTAGGTATTGAAAAGTGTAAAATAATGTATTGAATAAGTCGAAAGACTAATAGACTATTGAAATAAGTTTCAATATAGTAGAACTGGAATTTCACATTTTATTTACCCAAAGGAACTTCTGTTGTGTAGATCAGAAGAGTGTATATCAGTATTGATTACTCAGTGGTTTCTATTCTGAAACCCAAGGCCAGAAATCTACTCTATGGAGTACACAAACACAGATGCAGATGCAGATGTTCTGTTGTACATATTTAAAGCAAGTGATGCACCAAAACCCAAATTAAAGATTTCATTTAGCTGAAAACCGAAACAGAAAACAAAGCTTGGGTATTTGAACTCAGTATGTCATTCTGAGTGTTGTGTTCATACAGCAGATGATAAACCAGTCATAGTAAAGGTCTTTGGCAATGAGCCTCCTCTCAATATTTTAGCTGAATAAATTTTACATTTTGCTGCTTTAGCATCATTTCTGGTTTACCTATTTGTCCATTGTATCTTATACAACAAACAAACACACGTTGTGTGCACAAAGTAGACGCTGACATAGTCGATACGTGCCATCAGAAAAGTTTCAGTCAATGATTTCAACCCTTCAAAACTATTTTGGCTGAAATCCTTTTTTTTTTGTGCCAAAATTTGCTTCATTATGTGATGCTGCAGTGTTTACTTTTTGCACAAATAGTAGTGCAAAATGAAATTGCAGTCTGTTCGTTTGAGAAGCCCTAAATAGAAACACTGGCTTAATCAACAGCTTAACCAGCAACATGTTTTAGTGCCATTAGCTTTAAGTTTTGTCATTGCTGTGGCTACTCCAGGGGGCGGCAGAGTTACTCTTAATATTAAAGGCGCAGTAAGCGATTTTTGCCAAACGATGTTGATATTTGAAAGCACCAAAACAAACACGCCCATACCCCAACAGAACCTCGCCCCTATTTTGATAACTCCGCCCCACACGAACGTACACAACCCTGGCAGCGACAATGGTGGAATCTGCTATGCCGGCCGGCCGCAGCATATCCAAGCAAAAACCAACACAGAAAAGTTGTGTGAAAAAGCAAAATCAACGTAACTCACCTATCAAGAAGAAACAAAGCAACCTTGGCGTCTGATTCCCTTCCGCTCCTTGAGTTTCTCCACCGCTGGAAAGCTGCTCCGATATTGCCTGATTGTAACCCTTCTTTTTAATGTTTTATTCCTCCGAAATGTTCCTCTTTTTTTATATGCCATCTCTTGCTATCTATAGTCGATCTGCTAATATCCGTCCTGTGCACTCACTGGGCGCTCTCTTCTCTTTGCTAGACACGCCCCTTACTGCTGATTGGCTGCAAGTTTGTTTTGGGACTCGGTCCTGTGCACTCACTGGGCGCTCTCTTCTCTTTATCATTACTAGACACGCCCCTTACTGCTGATTGGCTGCAAGTTTGTTTTGGGACTCGGTCCGACACTGTGGTCAAAAGCGTTTTTCAAAAATCGCTTAGTGCACCTTTAATTCCACTAAATTGGATGTGGTATTAGGGGCCATCCACACAGAATCTATTTTTGCATTCCAAAGCTCTGCTTTTTCATTGTTTTTCTATGTAAACATGTGCTAGACGGTTACGTTTGACGTTTACATCTCGCGTCTATTGCAGCATCTCGCGCCTGACACGGCATTATAAAAACATGGAGCTCAAATTAAACAAGTTCTAAAAGTTTTTAAAACTAAAAAAAAAAAGTTTTTAGACCTTCTAGAGCTTTTTTTTTTTTTTTTTTTTGCTTTGTTGTACCCCGCGTTTTTAACCGCAAAATCAACATTCTGTGTGAATGGCCACTTATTGTGGTAGCAATTTAACCAGTTTAACCAACTTGAACTGACTCAGCAGGATTCTCAACAAACTGACCCCAGAAGAAGACGAATTATGCTATTGTATAGCACCCCTTGTGGCAACACTGAGAATGCAATGTGTATTTGCGTATCATTATGAATTGCTGACAAATTTACAATGCAGCAACATGTGAAAATAGCTAAAAAAAAATTGTGTTCATGTACTTGCGTAGAGTAACTCTTGGGCCGAAGTGTTCCCAAGTGTCTTGTTGCAAACCGGTCTTGAATCGATCCAGTTCAGAGGTGTTGAAAGAATGTATTCTAGGGTGAAATTATTACTTCATTACAGACTTTTGTAAATTGGCTCTTCATTGAAGGAAGACATGAGATTTGTGTGTTGTGAATTAGTGTGTTATTTATTGTTTCAACTAAATTATTCATTTGTGTATTATAATTCTATATTTATTGAAATATGTAATCATAGGTCTAACTGTTGTGCTGAAATATTTGGTTATCTTTAATAGATAACAGTCAATCATCACAGATGATTGCTCAGCTGGCATATTTTGATGAAGCATGTGGTAATATGCACTTTTATGCTCAGTAAGCAAGTAGCTAGTTTGTCTCACTTCTTTGTAGATGAGAGTGTAACTTGCTTCAAGTTCTGACCTCATTGAAACTCCTCACATGCTGCTGTCAGTTAGCTGTAAACACATTTAGCACAATGGTTTGGGTGAACAAAAAGAATCAAACAATCCTAGAGTGTTCTTAAAAATATATTATATTAAAACATGGATGCAGTGTTTTAGATTTTTATTTTAGGTCTCCAGTATGTGAATTAATCTCGTACTGCTTTAAAAAAAAAAAATTACACTGACTGTATAATCTGTCAAACTCTTTATTTTTAAGCAAGAGTTCACCCCAAAATGAAAGGTCTGTCATTTCTTCACCCTCGCGTTGATCCAAAAACCTTTATGACTTTCATTCTTTATGGAGCAGAAAAGGAGAAATCTTCCAAAATTCTGTTATTTCTATAATGGAAGTGAAAAGTGAATGGGGACCTTGGCAGATCTGGAATTAAATGCCCAAATTGTGTGGACTACTTCTTGATAGCCCCAGTCCCCATTTGCTTTCATTGTATGGAAAAGAGCAGCCTGGATTTGCTAAATTTCTTCTGTTGTGTTCCATGGAAGAAATAAATGAACATAAAATGAATGCCATAATTTTCATTTTTGGATTGATTCAGTGGATGATCTTTTCATTTATGTATAAAGCTTTAGGATTTCTACATTTCAGGCTTGACAGTCGTGCCGAGAGTAAAATGTGCTTCATTGTTTCAGTGAAATACAAGAAAGACAACCGTCGATTTTGATAAACAAATGTGAAAGACGGGAGAAAATCATCTTTTGCTTCCATTTTGAGCACTTACTTTCTGTGCTCTTCTGCTATGTTATTCAAGTTTAAGTATTTATTTTGCCTGTGAAATTTCAACTGTCATATCGGTCTTTTCCTGCTCTCTTTAATCGATTTCTCGATCTATTTTTGAACAAATGGCTTGCAGCATATTGCAAGTGTTACACTGAACTGTTTGTTGAATGACTTCTGATGTACCGTTTATACCTGTTAGAGGTGTGACTGCACATGTTCACGTTTACATGGGCTACGTCGAAAAATATGACCCTCACTTTCTAACTAAGAGAGCATATTTCAACAGAAATCCTGTCTGTTAATAAGACAAGCTTGTCTGATACATTTTATTTTGGTGTTTTAAAGTTGTGCAAACACTGTACAGTTGATGTGAACCTCGCTCCTGTTTATAATTTGCCCAGCAATATGCTTTTTCACACAGTTGTGATATAAAGCAAATGCTTTATTGTTATAAACATGGCCAATGAGATCTGATTGCCTATAGTTACTGCACACGGTTTCTCTAAACTTGTAAATGCGGTAGGTTTATTCAAAAAGCCGCAAGCTCGCTTGTGTTTGTGTGCTTTTAGAGGTTTACTCTGTGGTGAATCTCACAAAAACCTGTCAAGAACATATTTCACCTCAAGGCAGCAGAAAGAAATATATTTTTCGTAAATAAAATGAAGCTTATTTACTTATTATTTTTTGCATAACTTTGATTGCAATTAAACATTTTCCCCTAAATTATCATTATACCATGATCACAAAAGAACTATATTTTTATCGTAATGCAAATCTACTGAGACTTTCTCAGAAGAGTAAAACATCCAGATGTTTTTCAGACATTAAAATTATGATTATTTAAAATAATGGCAAAAGGACTTCATTTTCCTTATTCAAAAAAGAACACGTTTTTCTTTCCTTTGATTTTGGACGTGAATTGTGACTCAGACTTGTTTTCGTGAGATTTGCCCTCTTAATGAGACCAAGCATTGATTTGCTGTGTATGAATCCAGTGATTTGAATTAAAGAGGAACACCTGGTTGTGCAAGAATCGATTGTGTTGCGTTTTCTCTGCCTCTCGCTCATGTTTGGCCTTTCTCTTTATCTCAGAGGTGCTATTTATAGTTGCCCTGTTTTTTCCTCTCTATCTCTGAATCTTTTTCCCTTGTGTCACTGGAGCTAGTGTATCTCCACATCACATAACTGATAATCTGATAGGGGGGCGCCAGTGCCTCTCATTTACATATTGTATCTATTACGTGGTGTACAGTAATGGCCATGGTGCTACAGCTCTTCTCAATCTGTGAGGGCATCTGTCACTCTGCGGAGAAGATAGCTATCAGAAAGAATCAGCATGACCATGCCTGGCTGCACAGGACAAAAAAATAGAATAGAATAGGAATGATAGAATATTATAATAGAAGAGTGAGAGCTAAATGAAAGTATACTCTTAATTTACCTCATTTAAGCAGTAT